GTATCCACTGTGAGCCTGACACACCCGCTTTGAGACAACTAACTGCTATTCAATCTATAACAGTGAAAAAAGTTTTTTTGGTTTTTAAATGCACGCTATTGTGACACCAGTGAGTGAGGTGGTAGCACTGGGCACAGTATCTACTGTGAGCCTGACACAGACGCTGGCAGACAACTAACTGCTATTCAATCTATAACAGTGAAAAAAGTTTTTTGTTTTTAAATGCAAGCTATTGTGACACCAGATAAGAGTGGTGGCACTGGCACAGTATCCACTGTTAGGTGACACACCCGCTTTGAGACAACTAACTGCTATTCAATCTATAATAGTGAAAAAAGTTTTTTGGTTTTAAATGCAAGCTATTGTGACACCAGTGAGTGAGTGGTGGCACTGGGCACAGTATCCACAGTATCCACTGTGAGCCTGACACAGAAGCTGGCAGGCAGGCAACTGCTATTCAATTACACATTACACAGAAAAAAAAAAAGCAGACTGATGTTCTAGCCCTAAAAAGGGCTTTTTGGGGTGCTGTCCTTACAGCAGAGATCAGATGAGTCCTTCAGGACTGTAGTGGACACTGTATACCTAACCTAGCTATGCATTTCCCTATCTAATCAACAGCAGCTACACTTTCCCTCCTCTCACTAAGCATGCAGCTTGAGAATGAATGTAAAATGGATGCCTTCCAGTAGGTGGGAGGGTCTGCTAGGGAGGGTGTGCTGCCAATTGGCTGGAATGTGTCTGCTGACTGTGAGGTACAGGGTCAAAGTTTACTCAATGATGACGAATAGGGGGCGGATCGAACCGCGCATATGTTCGGCTGCCGTGGCGAACGCGAACATGCTATGTTCTCCAGGAACTATTCGCCAGCGAACCGTTCGGTGCATCACTAGTAACAACCAGAAATCACTAAGCAATTTTGAATCTGGCGCGGTCTCTCTAAAAGGCTTGAGAGAGCCGCGTCAGAGATGGGGCGGGGACGGTTCCGCATACTGGAAATGCCGGAACGGAGCTGAAAAGATAAGTCCTGACACCCACTAATTAGAAATTATATCCCTGTATGTTATGTTTTTGCAAGTATTTATCCAATTGCTGTTTAAACATCTGTATGGACTCTGATAAAACCACCTCTTCAGGTAGAGAATTCCATATACAATATATTTCATATATTTTGCCAGTCACAGCAGTTAAACTCACAGGTCTATCATTTCCATTAAAGGAATTTGAACCCTTTTTAAAATATAAGACCGACATCTGCCTTCCTCCAACCCTCTGGTACAATACCTGAAACAAAACAATCTTGAAAGATTAAATACAGAGGTTCACTTATTTCCCCACTTAGCTCCTTAAGTACTCGTGGGTGAATACCATCAGGCCCCAGAGCTTTATTTACAATAATTTTCTTTAACTGCTGTAGCAACTTGTTTCGAGTCATCCAATGACAAGTTATCTGCAAGTTTTTTGCAGCAATTTGCATATCTCTTGCCATAGGATCCTCATTAATATATACACAGTGTCACACACACATACTGCCCCCCCAAACACACATTGCCCCCCACACACACATACACTGCCTCCCATACACACATTGCCCCACACACACACATACACTGCCCCCCCATACACACATTGCCATACATACATTGCCCCTCATACACTGCCCCCCATACACACATTGCCTCACATACACTGCCCCCCATTCACGCATCCTGCCCCCATACACGCATTGCCTCCTACACACACACACATACCTACATTGCCCCTCCATACACACATTGCCTTTCCATACACACACATTGCCCCACACACACATACACTGCCCCCTCTCACAGACTGTACCCCTAACATACACTGCCGCCCTCACACACACTGCAACCTTCACACACACACTGCAACACTCACACATTGTCCCCCTCAACACAGTGTACGTCAAGGCAAAATATCCTAGGTTAGTCCTTCACTAACAATTTACCTTCTTTCATGGGGGAAGAGTTCATGCCTTGACGTGGAAGGTGAGCATACACTTAAATGGCCATTGGAGTGATGATAATAAAAAAAAATCCAGTTATTTAAATGTGAATATGGATTTGGGATTGTGTGCAAGTAACTTTTCTTCTTTGGTTTTTATTGGAGATGAAGTATCATTGCTGCTGCGCAGGAATAGTGAGAGTTTGAGGACAGGACTTAATTTTATATATTTTTATTTGCTTTTGTATTACGTTGCCATATTTCAGTGCTGCCACCCACCCTGTGTGTTCCCTATTACGGGTTAATAACTATGCAGGTGTTTAGATAAATACCCCTTTCTGTCTCATTAGAGATTTTGTCTTTTGGCTGAAGATTGTAAGGTGAATTGTCAGTGTATGACTCACCTAAGAGATTTTGCCTTGACGTGGCAGGTAAGCTTACACTTAAATGGCCATTGGAGTGATATTAAAAAAACCTCCACTTATTTAAATGTCATAAGGATTTGGGAAAGGCCGCAAGTAATTTTTTACTTTCGTTGTTATTGCAAATTAACCTTTTTTTCATGTGATGCTCCAATTACTTTGAAATTTATATAACAACTACAGCTTATTGCATTTGTTCTGGTGAATAGACTCATTCCATTCAGACATTTTGCTGTACCATCTGTATTTTCAGAGAGAATGCAGTGTTTACATTACAGCCTAGGGATACCTCCACTGGCCACTCCTCAAATGGCTGTTAGAGGTGCTTCCTGGGGCAGTGCTGCACAGTGAGCAGCGCTGCCATTCAATGTCTCCACACTTTGCATGGAGGCACTGAATTTTTTTCATAGAAATGCATTGATTCAATGTATCTCTATGAGGAGATGCTGATTGGCCAGGGTTGTTTGACTTGTGCTGGCTCTGCCCTTGATCTGCCTTCTTGACGGTCTCAGCCTGTCCAATACTTTCCTATGAGAAAGCATTGTGAAACAAAAATGATCTGTTCAGTCCAGGCATACATTGCAAATGAGGTGAAATAGAAATATTGTTTTATTTCTCCTCTTTTCTCTATGCTTTCTCTATGCTTTCTCTATGCTGACTGCCAGGTACAAAGGACAGAGCCTAAAACAATGGTTGACATGGAGCTAAAATGGAAGCACCCAGTTATAAGATAAAGTATTGTTGAATTCTGCATTCATAAGGTGATTCAATAAAGTGAGAATTCAAAGTGAATTTCAAATTTAAGGCCAATATAGCAGAACTGGAAAAAATATCTAAATCAGCTATCCTTCCAGTTCAGCTACTTTGGCCTTCAATCTTAATTTACTTTGAATTCTCTCTTTAGTGAATATCTTTGTACATTTTTCTTTTCAAAACTCACAAATAGAGATCACGGGAAGCAGGGCCGGATTAACATAGGGGCTGATAGAGCTGCAGCTCCAGGCCCAGGCCAATGGAATAGGCCCATTTAAAAAAATTTTTAAAAAATAATAATAATTTTTTTAACACACTACTCTTAGGTTTGCCACCTGACTGGTATTTTAAGGCACAGCTGGTATTTGAGGATGCCTGGCCGTGGAGATTACTCTGCAATACCAGCACTGGCCAGTAGGGGTCACTGTGTATGGAGACAGACAAGGATAGGAAGTTACAGCATATCTCTCCCTGTCTCTCTCTACTCACTTATCCGCATGGGGACACTGGGAGACGTGGGGACACTGAGACACATGGGGACGCTGTGAGACATAGGTAGACACATTGGGACACGGAGACACTAGGGACACAGTATCTCCATGTCTCCCAGTGACCCCATGCCTCCCAGCCAGTGTCCCTAGTGTCAAGGGGCGGACTGAGTGGTCGGACACTTCTGACATGGTCCGAGGGCCCGGCTGAGGAAAGGGGCCCGCCAACCAGCTATTCTGTGTGTGCACTGTCACACACAATTAACAGCGCAGTCCTCTGGCCCATCGCTGCTACCCGGGAGGGGGCCCATCGCTGTTTGCCTGTGAGGGGGCAGGGCCCATTGCTGCTTACCCGGGAGGTGCGCGTCGCCACGTACTGACTTCGGCATGCGCCGCCCTCTCGGTGCTTCTAACAGTGCGCGGCACAGAAGGATCAGAGCTGCCTTTCTGCTCGCTCCACTATCGATTGGATTTGGCCCACATCACTCTTTTTAATGTAGGTAGCCTTTCCTTCTTATTGTTGCTTTTTTATTAAGAAGCTGGGCAGGGGTTTTGGAGGGGAATGGGGCTCTGTAATAGTGTATTTATTTGCATCTGTTTGTGTCTATGTAGATGCATGTGATTTGTGTGTGTGTGTGTGTGTGTGTGTGTCTGTGTATGTGTGTGTTTGTGTCTATGTAAGTCCATGTAGCTGCATGTGTGTCTGTAATCTGTGTGTGTCTGTTTGTATCTGTATGTGTATCAGTGTGTGTATGTGTGTGTCTGTCTGTATGTTTGAGTGTTTGTGTCTATGAAGCTGCATGTGTGTCTGTATCTGTGTGTGTCTGTGTATCTGTATGTGTGCCCATGTTTGTGTCGGTGTGTATCTGTGTGTTTGTATATATGTGCATACATCTCAGCATCTCTTCAACACTACACACATATACACCCCGGGATTCTAACGTCAACATTACATACAAACACACCACTTGCATCTGAACTGGCCAAAGATAAATAATAAGATATGTTTTTTCATTATACAATGTTTTTTTGGCCGTAAAGATTGCAATTGCACGTAGTTGGAAAAATTCTCAAGCTCCACTTTGGTCGAATATATTTAAACAGCTATTATTCCAAATTAAAATGGAAAAAAAATTACTAAAACCCTAGGATACTGACCCAAAACAACTAAAATATGGGGAGAATATCCACAGTATGATACCCCACAGCACAAGGGCAGTTGAGCACATGGCGCCCCCAAGATGGCGGCGGCAAGCCCATCATGCAAGTCAAACTGCGCACCTGAAGCGGAGACCCACGGCGATGTTATGTGGCGCATAAAAGCTACATTTGTCCGATTCTGGCACAACCTTAACAAATGGCATCTCAGACGACCCGCCACCCACTACTAAGCACGAGTAAGCAGCACCACCCCATGGGGGAAAGGGACAGGCACCATCGACCAAGCAGACAAAGCGCAATAGAGGAGCTGGGCGCACTAAGAAAAGACGCACCACTCCGGGCAAAGCAAATACTCCCAAGCTGCTACACAAACACCAGGTTGGGGATCCACCGCCGCTGGCGGCGACGTCGCAGCAGAAGTACCAGCCACTCCTCACCTCAGAGAGACCTAGCCTCAAGACAGAAGGCCCAAGTCCGCTACCTCACATTCCAAATCTCCGCTCTGACCCAGGGCCGGAGGGCCTATGCGCCCAGCCCCCGCCCGACGCAACCCAAGGACAGCCTGCATGCACACCCAAGCATAGGTGCAGGGTGACGCTGGACTCTCTGACTGATTTCTGATACCAACATGTCTAAGAATAAGGCGCAAGTATTGATTATTCCCTTCTTGCTGTTTACTTTTCTTTTTTCTATGACCTCCCATATTATCTCTTAATTCCCATGAGTAAAATCATAGTATTATAACTCACATGTTTGTATCACAGTAATCGTTTACTAGCATTGTTTTCATGCGCACACGTATATCTCATGCTACACCATACTATAAAATTGTGCTACAATAATAATCTTAAGAGCAACTAGTTGTTATGCGCATACTTAGCCTAGCATGTTATACCACAAAACGATGTCTAATAGCCTGTTATCTTTACGTAATATCTAAAAATGTGCATTGTCTACCTATCCCCCACTGTATTTATTGTTTTGAAACCAGCGTACGGAATGCCGTTGGGTCACCGTATGTATGTATGTTACCACCACAAGCACTGCAAAAATTAAATTAAATTAAAAAAAAAAAAAAAATATGGAGAGAATGGGCAAACAAATTGGATATAGATAACATTAATTAACCCTAAATGTTGAAATTTTAGAAGGTATTTTGCTATATTGATTGATATTACAACTCCCCGGGATGCACCTACTCGACAACGGATTGATTTTGTCTTAAATGTAAAGTCCTGTGATCTGTACAGGATTTTGTGTAAATGTGTTATGTATATTATTATTCCTCTTATGATGGTTAACATTGGATAATGATGATTGTGGAAAATGATTTAATATTTGACATGTAGTTATAAACAATCTGTGATATAATCGATTTCTGATTAAGTGGAAAAGTAAACAATAAAGAACAAATTAAAGGGCTACTATAGTGCCAGGTAAAAAAAACTTGTTTTCCTGGCACTATAGGGTCTTTAGGTCCGCTGGGCTGAAGGGGTTAAACAATTACCTTTCTCCAGCGCCGGGCTCCCTCTGCGCTGGGGAACACTCCTCCCTCTGCCGACGTCAGCACCGAATGAGCATGCGCGGCAAGAGCTGTGCGTGCATTCAAACAGTTTATAGGAAAGCATTTCTCAATGCTTTCCTATGGACGTCCAGCGTCTTCTCACCGTTATTTTCCCAGTGAGAAGCGCTGAAGCACCTCCAGCGGCTGTCTGAGACAGCCACTAGAGGCTGGATTAACTCTACAGCTGCAGGGTTAACCCTAGATGGACCTGACACCCAGACCACTTCATTGAGATGAAGTCTAGTCTCGGTGCCTATAGTGGTTCTTTAATAAATAAAAAAAAGAAGTGCAAGCACACACATTCTATTTTATCATGTTTAATATGGTAAATTATCACTGACCACATTATTGTCAAACAGAGCTATGGGAAGCTGTTCTCCATTTTATAAGCAAATATAGAAAGTCTTCTTGAGACAGAGGCTTGGGTATCTTACACATACTGCAATACCTTTCCTGTGCACAGGGAACCCTTGTTACAACTGTCTGACTGCCAACAGATCCTGCATACAGGCCCTGGCTCCCATCCAACACACTGCAAATTTATCTCTACACACACACACAAGCAAAAGACTCTCTATATGGAGAGAGAAGCAGAATGAACATCCACAGCAGTAAGAAATAAGAAAGTAAGAAAGTGCCAAATTGTTTTATATGTATTTTAACTTTGCAAAATAAAAGATATGAAGGAGAAAGGCACCATTTGCATGCCTGCAGTTTTGACTAAGACGGAATTCTACAGATATGACCGAGCAGCCCTGTTTCCAGCGTGCTCATGTGTGCATTGCACTTTCAGCATCTATGGGTCCTGGCTGTTATGTGTATTATAGAAAATGCAATCAAACCAGGATTTTATGTCAAGACGCTGAGGCTCATATTGGTTAACCCTTTCCAAAAGTAGCAAAGAACACAAATAGAAAAAATAGAACATATACAATGAGATACCAGCCAATCTCCATCCAAGTCCCAGTATAACAGCAAGCACCTCCTCTAAAGCTTCCTCTTTCTTTGCTGTTTCACAGTCAGATCAGTACCTAATTTTTTTACTCTGAGCATTCTCTATTTTTAATTGCCTTTTAACTGCTTTGGTTATTTCATATTTGATTCTAATCCTGTTATTCTACCTTTACTAATGCTGTTTTATATGGTTTTTGGTTTAATGTTATTTACCTTTTAACCCAGAGTTCCAAACCATCCTCTGGGGGATCCTTGCATGTTTTCTCCCCTCTCTTCTGACTTTGCCTTGTTGCTCCTGTCCTCTGGGGGGGTCCCTTTGGGTTTGCCTCCCTTAATCTTTTTTCATTTTTTAAAATTTTTTATGTTCTTAGGTCTCCCCTTCCTCCTTGCTGTCTGGTGCCGTTTTGCACACATTTTTCACGCCACATTTTGGCTGTTTTCGCTACAGAATTGTGCCTTTCGGCTGTTTTTGCCGCAAATTGGATGCATTCACTGATTTTTTTTGCCGCGAGTCTTGCAAGACTGGCGGCCATTTTCTGATTCTACCTGTCCTTCTGGCTCTGTCTTTGACTTGTGTCTCCCTGTCTGCTGGTCTGGGCCCTGGTGAGCTCCCTTCTCTCTGCCTCTTTGATGTAGCTAGTTTGGGTGATTAATCCTTTCTAGTCTGCGTTATTATTTTGTCTACAGCTGTAGTTTTCTTCCCTAATGGTCTAGTATTGTGCTGTTTATTTGTGGGTCTCACATTGCATTATGCCCAAGCCTAAGGTGCCTCCTGCCCCCTTTCTCCCGGTGAGATGGATATGCCTCAAGGCCCGGGAAACCCCTCTTCAGTTTCTAGCTCCCCTCCATCAGTAGTTGGCCCTATGGCTCACCCTGATGAGGCTCAGTCCCTTGCGCTGCAGCACTCAGTCATCAATACCATTATGGCAGCTATAGGCTCTATGTTCTCTGCCCTCTTTCAGACTATCTACCAGGCCTTACTCTCGCGCCCACTGGACGCAGGAAGTTTGGGTCCACCAACACGCCAGTCACGTTCTGGTTCGGACCCTTCAGGGGATGCACCCAAGAAGGCTACTGCTAAATCCAGACACGAGCTACGAGATAGTGAGTTGATAGACTTAGAATTGTCGGCCCTTCACGGGAAGGGGGCGATAGAACTAGCACCCATGTCCCCTGCCAGGGTCCTCAGCAACATTTTCTTGGTGGAAAAGAAAGGTGAACAGTTGCGCCCAGTTATCAATCTGCGTCCCCTCAATGCCTTGGTGCGCTACCGCCACTTCAAGATGGAATGCTTCCACCATCTGCGGGACCTGCTCCTTCGCGATGACTGCATGACTAAACTGGATCTGAAGGACACGTACTTGACGGTGTACAGGACATCCAGGGATTTATTGTGTTGGTGTCTTACATGTCTTCCTTTTGGGTTCTCCTCGGGAACATGGTGCTTCACAAAACGCACAGCATGGTTACGCAATCGGGGTGTGCGTCTGATCGCCTACTTGGATGACATCCTGAACATGGCCCATGTTCCCTCCATTTTCCTACGGCACCTGCAATGGACGATAGACCTCTCTCGCTTGGGTTTACTCCTCAACTGGGAGAAGTCCTGCCTGACTGCTTCGAGATGCATGGAGTTCCTCAGTTTCACTGTGGACTCCGGAACAAAGTACCCCAGCCTTCCAATGTCTAAGATTCAGACCATCTGCAAGGAGTTGTACTGTGCACTGTCGTGCCCACAGATCACGCTACGCCACCTGGCACAGATCATAGGCCTGCTGGCATCCTCAATCCAAGCGGTGTTCCCGGCTCCTCTTCATTACCATGCCCTCCAGTGACTGAAGATCGCTCATCTCCACAACGGTGCTTCCTATGCGGACAAGGTTTCTCTGACACACGAGACGAGTTGAATTGGTGGATCCACAATCTCTCTGCTTGGAATGGCAAGGCCATCTTCAGTTCCCAACCGGAGTTCCCAACGCTCTGGAGCCCCTTGCCGGTTCTTTTGCAATTCGGAGTTTTGCGAACAGGACTGGCAGCACATGCATCCGACTGCGTATGGACAACGTCTCGGCAGTCCGTTATGTCAATCACATGGGCGGCACACAATTGGCAGTTCTGGCTCGTCTGGCGAATAACTTTTGGGTGTATTGCTTGGCCAGGGCTTTGGTGGTCCAAGAAGAGTACCTTCCGGGGATCCACAACATTCACGCAGACTGGAGTTCATGTTATTTTTCGGACAGCAGCGACTGGAGATAGGACGTGGAGGTGTTCTCTGCTATCTCATCTCTCTGGGGACCTTTTGCCATCGACCTTTTTGCGTCCCGACTCAACGCCCATTTGTCACGGTGGTCGGTAAAAACTATGACTTCCATAAAATTTCTGAACCCCTGAACTGATATGGGTGATTTTTGGATATGTTGGTCACCCAGATCAGGGCTATCAGGAGATATGTTTATCTCTTTTTAGGGTACTTTTGGGGTGTTTTTAAAAAGTATGTTTTTTCTGTGCTTGGAGATAATTGTATTAGAATTAGTACAGTTACTGATCCAATTATCTCCCAAACAGGGAGGAGGGATTGTGTGTTTGTTATGGGAGTGTTGTGCATTTAATCAGTGTTCTTATTGGTCTGTGTCTTTGTGTCAGAGTCCCCAACAAGGTCCATGTCGGTGTACCCCTTGCATGGGGATTGTTATAAATGCCAAGTGTGGCTCCGATTAAATTGAGATTCATTTACCCCTTCATGAAGTCTTGACTCATGCTTGGGGAATTGAAGAACTACATACACTCTGGGGATTGCTATATCACAATCAGTGGTGTCTCTAGGATTCATTTTTAGGGGGGCCACATGGTGGGCCAGGGATAAAAGTAGGGGGGCACATTTGACCCCGCCCCTGCCGCATGTTAAGCCCCGCCCTCGACACAAAGTGTTTTTTTTTTTTTTTTTTTTAAATAATCCCTGGTGGAGAATTCATTATCTTCCAACAAGGATTATTAAAAGACAAACACATTTCCCTTGATACATTCCATACACACACAGACTGCTGAGTCCATACACACACAGACAGACTGCTGA